CAAGTATGTACTTAGTGGCTTTCATGGGCAGGCATTAGAAATGTAGATTAATACACACTGGAAATCAGCAATGTATTGTGTTAGAAAGTGATAAGTACTACAGAGAAAAGTAAAACAGGAAAATGGATAGAGAGGAATGAGTGGGTGCAGGGCTACAGTATAAATTAGGAGAGTCAGGGGAGGCCTCACTGAGAGGGGCCACGTGGACGGAGACTTGAAGGGTGCGAGAATGAGCAATGGGGATTTGCAAAAAGAAAATGCCAGGTGGAAGTTCAGTGCCATGACCCTAAGGTGGGAGTGTGCCTCAGCGTTCAAGGAATCGCCAGCAGCCAGTGTCACTGGAGATGAGTGAGTCCAGGGGAAAGCAGAAAATGGAATTGCAGAAGCCAGGAGAAACCTCTGGGCCTCTGCCAGGACTTGGCCCCTGCTCTGAGGGAGAGGAGAAGTACTGGAGAGTTCTGAGTGCAGGAGAACACAGTCTGATTTATGTTCTAACCAGATGCCTCTGGCTACTGAGTTGAGAATCCTATATGGGATGTAAGGGGCCAAGAGGGAAAGCCCAATGCCATCTAGGCCAGGTGAAAGGTGATGGTGTTCTGGGTCAGAGTAGGAGTAGGGCAATTGCTGAAAAGCGCTCAGAGTCTGCGTGTAATTTTAACATAGAACTGAGAGGATTTGCTGACATATTGATTGTGGGATGTGAGAGAAAAAGAGGAGTCAAGAATTACTCCAAAATAGATCTTCAATAAGATTTTGATGAACTAATGAATGGATGAACGAATGAACAACATACAGCTATTAAACAGCAGGATCAAGATTTGAAACAAGGTTAGTAAAATGTCAAAATACTCTTTGTCATTCTTATCCTTTTAGAATCTGACAAAGAAAGCCTTTCCTTAGAAAAGTGCACGTATGTACATACGTGCCAAATTTGCACAGCATCTTGGGAGGCTCAAGGACCTCTTCAAATCCATCCGGGAATCGTCTGTGTTAAGACAGCCTGCACTTCATCATACCATCTACCGAACATAAAACTTGATTTTCAAAAATGCAGTTTGTATAAAACTTTTGCAAAAGCATCTCTTGCATAAAGGTCTTATAAAATGGTCTTACTTCAATCTTACAAAATGAATGAATGTAATAGGAAAAAGAAACAAATTGTATTTCTGTCATCTACGTTTAAAAATAATCACTACGTTACATGCATTGGAATAGAACAATAATTTCTAATTCAGTATTATAAAAAGTAGTAATTAGGGTTAACACATTATTCTTGATATTTTTAAAGCCTAAAGAAAACTGTACATTTCCTTACAGTGAGATCACAAAAGTTAAAGCATCGTCTCTCTACTTGTGGCTGGAATTATAAGAACTCAGTCCAGTAATACTAGTTTTCTCATACTGGTAGAAGTTTTAACTAATGGAGTTAGATGCCCTTATTTAATAACAAATGAGAAATAAAAATTAAATGTGGTTTGGTCAGTAAAATGTTCCATGGGGGAAGAATAATAAAGAATATTTCTAGAAGGAGTGCTATTTTGAGCAAAGCATAGTAGAAGACTGAATAGTGCAGTGTTTTATGAGGCACATAAACAACAAACATAATTAATTACATAATAATAAGATAATTCAGTGTAGTCTTCACCTTAAAGTAAATCTAAAAAGCAATCCAAGAGTTGCCCTCACATTGTTACAGATTATCTGTTTAGTCTACGTAATCCTCATGTGTATATACAAACAACATCTTTGTACCATCTATGTTTAAATTATATTTTTAAGCCCTCTAAGGCTTTGAGGGAATGAGGTTGTTTTATATTTTGCCTCATAATTTAAACACTTTTATGTAAATTCCAAGGGCTGTTTTCCAAAGTGGGACACTGCCACAGCCATAAAACTATTTCAAGTCACTGGGGATCACAAAGTTAAAACTCTAGGGACTAACACTGGGGAGCTTTGCTCACAAGCTTCATGAGCACCCTGAAGATCTGTCTAAGGTAAAAAGAAGAAGAAAGAAAGACAAAGGAAGGAAGGAAGGAAGGAAGGAAGGAAGGAAGGAAGGAAGGAAGGAAGGAAGGAAGGAAGGAAGGGTTGAAGAAGAAGAAGGGAAGAAGAAGAATAAAGAGAAAATATCTGTAAATCAATCTTCTCTTAAAGAAATTTGATCTGAAGGAAGGAAGGAAGGAAGGAAGGAAGGAAGGAAGGAAGGAAGGAAATAGAGAAAAATATTCAAAATCAATCTCTCTGTGTGTTAGTACCCCACATCTGGGTACAAAACTCTGGTCCTGGGCTTGTGCTGCTTGATCCTGTCGCAGTCTACATTGTGTTGCCCTATACCCTTAGAGAGTTGAGAAAAATGCCTGTCATGTTTCAAACTGATTTCAGATGATGAGGGGACTGTGAAAAAGGGAGTCAATAGAATTTTCACTTGCTAAGATACAGGCACCAACAGGATGACCACAAAACAACAACACTCGAGCCTTAATTGGGACTTTTGGTTTTTATTGTCTTACAACAGAGTCAAAATTATATTTAAATTTTCCGTGGCTCATTTTTATGAGTGAAATACGAGCATTTACCCAGTGAAAGAAAGAGGTAGGCAGACAGGCAGACATCGGACACGTTTTAAAAAATCTATAAAATTGCATGACCCCAGAAGCAAAAATCATTTTCAATTAAATTAATACCAAAATGAGTTATAGATATTAACTTTGGTATGCGGTAGTTGTTGTAAAATGAGAAACTACATTATAGAAATGGTGATAATACACTTCTCATACTCTGCATATTCATCTATAAGTCAGAATGTATTTCTGTTTGGAGTATTGGTGTTAACATGCTTTCTTAGCAGAAGAGTAGAACAGCCCTTATGGTGTATGTTATGAATGCATATTAACAGCACAGGCATTTGCATATCTGGAACTATAGTAGAAAATGCATAACAAAATTTCTTTTGAAAGATTATTGTACAAACATACTTAATTCTTGCTAAATCTTGACATAACAACTTTTTATTCCCCCCCTTTTTTTGAAAAAAACAAAAAGCTAAAGCATCCAAACAATAGATTAGCAGTCAGAAAACCTGAACACTAATTCTGTTCCTCCACCCCATCAGCACCAAAGGTTTTTCTTTCATGTTCAAAGGCAGGAATAGCACAGCCTCAAATGTTTTTATCAATAAATTGTTTCTCACTTTTCTGCAAATGCCAAGATAAAATATAAAATCTACCCTTTCAATGAAGTACATTCATGATAATTTTCTATTGGCGTATCATGTCATCTATTCCTTGGATTTTGATTTTCATGTTTGTGATGACTTTAATACAATGCAGCTTTTGGAGACTTTGCAAGTTTAGAATATGGTGCAGTATATAAAACGCAAGACAGCACTGGCTGCTTTGTGGCTCATGACTCTGATACTTATGCTCCTTTACATTTAAAAATTAAACCATATGTGAGACCAACAAAATTCTGCAACTAGCCTTCCTATAGAAACTCACTATGCTAATATAAAAATTGTGTGTACTTCTTGAATTAAAAGCCATATGAAATATACTCAATGCACCCATTACCAAGTGATATATTCTTAAACAACAAACTTTAGAATGACTATGGTATATCTGGTTTTTTGAAAAACAAGAGCTAGGCCAACCTACCTATTTTAACTTAGGAGTTTATAGTCTGACTCTTATTTTAATTTGCATTTTTTACTGGGCCATTAAGAGAGAAAAATGATCTGCTTTTACATATTTGATTCTACTTTTTGCCGACTTCCCCATCTTTTCTAGAACTGTCCAGGAAAAGTCGAGCAACTTTTTGAAGAAGGTGGAAATTAGTTGGGTATGACAGGAGCAAAATTGAATTTAGTGTGAGGCCCTTGGTGCCAATTTGGATCCAAAGTGCATTAAAGCAGCAGAATTCTAAACCTTTCAAAACTGGGATTTATAAGGGGAATGCTAACACAGATTCAACAGTTACAGCTCTGCCAGGGATTACTTTAATACCAAAAGCATACTCTCTCACTTTATAGAAAGAGATTACTCAGTTGTCAAACAACAAAGGTTGTGTTTATTTGTTTATTTTAAAACTTTTATTTATTTATTTATTTGTAAGCTCACTTTTTACTTTACTGGCAGGCAATCCTGAAATCAAATGTCCTTTATAGGGGTGGGGGCACGGGAGAAGAGAAAAGGGGAGGAAGGTGGAGTTTGTCTCTAGCTCCACAGTTCGTTTTATCTATAAGGCTTTGCCAGCTTTGCTTAACTGTTTCCACCCTGCTTTTGTTAAGAAGAAATCAAAAGTGTGGAGTGGGGAAAAAAATAAATCTGAAATACACCTGATCGGGAAAAACAAGTGGACACTGATAAAAGAACAAGAAGATATTTAAATTGATGTTAGTCTAGAGAAAAATGCGAGGACAAGATTTTTAAGAGAAAGAAAAAAATCTGAAAGTTAAAAAAAAAAAAAGAAACAAAAACAGGAAAGCTAATCTTTGATTAAAATACTCAGCAGAATGTCAGGGAGAGGAAGACAAAAACCTGAGTGATAATTTTTATGTTTATTGTGTCTGAAATGAAATGAGAAGGAACGAGCAAGTTAACGCTGGGAAGAGATAAGGGACAATAAAACAGTGAAGTTAGTGACTTTCCGCAGAGGACAAAGTATGTAGTTTGAAATCCTTAACAATGGACTTGCAGTGTCTCTGCAAAAGTTGGTGAAAGATACCAGCAAGTGTAGGAAGGGGAGTATCTGAGGATGTCTTTCACAGACCCCAGATGGAGAAGCTGTTCTTTTATTCCAAATCCCTAAGAAGCACAGAAGTCTTACATGTTAATAAGAGAACACACAGACACACACTCATAAGTTACATGCTGTGAAACAAAACAAGAAAATGAAACCTTTGTTGACCCCTGTTCACTTACACGAATCTTAGTTTGGTTAAACATCTTAAGACCAGTTTCCAGCTCCTTTTCATGGCTTTCTTTCCCTGGGTACCCAGGTGCACAAATGGGATGGTGATCTTTACAAAACAACATCATCAACAACAACAAAAACCTCTTGCTCACACAAAAGCCCACCTTGTAAATGAATGGAATATTAACGACCACCTAATACTTGCACCGTTGGCAGGGCGAAACTGAACACTAACACAGCTATTTCTACAGATTGCCAGTGAAACTGAAGCAGCTCGAGGAGAAATGCACCTACTGTACGTGAAATGCTGGTGCAGATTTTTTTCCTATCAGTCTAACCTTCTGTGTTGATGCATGAATGCTGGTACCCACTTACAGGGATGCCAGATGATCAGTGCAGAATGAAGGTCCCAAGAGAGAGGATCACATGGCTCTCTCTGCCCTGTGACGTCACTAGCAGATGGCATGGGTACCAGCTCTGGCAGTTGGCATCAATGTCACTTTTTAGAGATCAATGAGATAGTGCAGATATACACAGATCTAGAGACTCCAGGAGACGATGCGACACTCAGCCTGAAAAGATTTGGAAGACCCAAAATGAAAACTGATTATTGAATGAAATTAAAACCTAAGGTAATATAAATAAAGATATACTTCAATTGATGCTGGCTTTGCATGCAAGTATTTAAAGATACAGTGTCACTGTCTTATAGTATTTATATGCTCTTTGCCATCTATAACTTCTTATCATATTTCATTCTTATGATGTAATTATCACATACTTTCACTGCTATTATGTAACACTGCAAGTATGTGGACATTACTAAGAGTTTGTGTATGTGTTCGTGTGTATATGTGTGTGTTGAGGGGGCTGGAGATTGTTAAACTGAAAAGTCTCTGCTTTAATGTGCCTATTTGTTTGAAGACTTTAGATGAAAATACTTGCTGCTTCACCAAACAAAAACCAAAATGCATTTGAAACACAAATTATTTTCCCCTTTCATTTGGGATTCTGAACACACGTGCACAATTGCAGTCAGAATCCTTGGACCGTTCCTGTCAGATATTAGCTAGAGGGAGACTTGTATGGCTCGTAGAACAAAAACACTACGAGAGTGGTTTTTGTCCAGGATGATTTGAACAGCAGTAAACAGACAATTCTATTCGGAAAAAATTTAAATGTAAATAAAATCAGTCTCAATATTTTTTTAATTAAAAGAAATTGCCAGTGATTTTTATGCTTTAAATTTATTTATAGAGCTTATTCCAAATTAGCCTAATCCCCTTTTCTTTTTGAAGCCTGGGAAAATAGTGCTCTTTTACATAATTCTTTACTGATCAGAAAAAATCAGTTTAAAAATTGACTCTGATTATAATCTTTTCTTTAAATTTGTATATTCCCACACCCACTTATCTAAATTCACAGTTGTGTGATACAGCAAATAAAGTTAAGGTTTTGTTTGTTTGTTTGTTTGTTTTTAAAAAAGAACACGAATTTGTCAGCTAATGGAGAGATAGTACTTTCCATTTTAAAAACTGGTTTATCTTCTCATTTTGTGCTCAGGGGAATTGGAATTAATGAAATTCTGCATTGAAATTTCATGTTTTGCATTTGTTTGAATTCCACAATCTTTTTTGGGGGGTTCTAAAATCCAGTTTAAAGGCAAAGAGAAATGGAGATGGTGGTGATCACAATAATTATATGTTTCATTTTTATTTTCTTTTGATAATTTGCTCATATAAATTAATCCTATTGAATGCATCAATGTCTTCATAATTACTTACCTTCACAAACTCAAAATTATATTTAATGTTAAAAAATCAGCCCAGAATCAATCTTTTTCACGTATTTTTGTAGTCTTATGATTAAATAATTAAATATGTTTTAAGTGTATAAACTTTAAAAATGAAAACTCTTTAAATATTGTGCTGGCATTTTTTCAGGTAATTTAAGATTAGAGAACCATGTTAACACTACCGTTTGATGAGTCTGTTGTAATGCCAGAATCCCAGATGTGCAGAAAGTTTTCTAGAGAATGCGAGGACCAGAAGCAAATTAAGAAACCAGAAAGCTTTTCCAAACAGATTGTCCTTCGAGGAAAAAGCATCAAAAGGGCCCCTGGAGAAGAAACCGAGAAAGAAGAAGAGGAGGAAGACAGGGAAGAGGAAGACGAAAATGGGTTGCCTAGAAGGAGGGGTCTCAGGAAAAAAAAGACAACCAAGCTGCGATTGGAAAGGGTCAAGTTCAGGAGACAGGAAGCGAACGCGCGCGAGAGGAACAGGATGCATGGCCTCAACGACGCTCTGGACAACTTAAGAAAAGTGGTCCCCTGCTATTCTAAAACCCAGAAACTGTCCAAAATAGAGACTTTACGACTGGCCAAAAACTACATCTGGGCACTTTCTGAAATTCTGAGAATCGGCAAGAGACCAGATCTGCTCACATTCGTCCAAAACTTATGCAAAGGTCTTTCCCAGCCAACTACAAACTTGGTGGCAGGCTGCTTGCAGCTCAACGCCAGGAGTTTCCTGATGGGTCAGGGTGGGGAGGCTGCGCACCACACAAGGTCACCCTACTCTACCTTCTACCCACCCTACCACAGCCCTGAGCTCACCACTCCCCCAGGGCATGGGACTCTTGATAATTCCAAGTCCATGAAACCCTACAATTATTGCAGTGCGTATGAATCCTTCTATGAAAGTACTTCCCCTGAGTGTGCCAGCCCCCAGTTTGAAGGTCCCTTAAGTCCTCCCCCAATTAACTATAATGGGATATTTTCCCTGAAGCAAGAAGAAACCTTGGACTATGGCAAAAATTACAATTATGGCATGCATTACTGTGCAGTGCCACCCAGGGGTCCCCTTGGGCAGGGTGCCATGTTCAGGTTGCCCACCGACAGCCACTTCCCTTACGACTTACATCTGCGCAGCCAATCTCTCACCATGCAAGATGAATTAAATGCAGTTTTTCATAATTAATGAGGAAAATGAAAATAAACAGTGGTCATTCACCTTCCCCGTCTAATTAAGACAAAGCAGATGCTTGTGGGCTGAGTAATTGGCACAACTCTATCTAAGGTGTTTACTAGTTTCTGAAGTGTGTTTCAACTATTGTGAGAATTTTCTATGTAATAATAAATCTCTTTTCGTATGAGAACTTCTTTTCCTTTCCTTTTGTCTGTAAAGCACTGTGATTCTGTTTCTACTGGAAAGATTTTTTCCTTTTTAATTTTATTTTAAACTTACTTAATTTGTTTGAACAAGGTGTCTAAGAATATACTGTTGAATAAAGACATGCACACAGCATAATTCAATGTCTATTTTGGTTGTACAGTAATTATAAAATGCATGTTATTAAAATCAGATGAATAAAATGATGTGTTTATAATTATTAGGAATTATATATTATGTATCTTTTAAAAATTGAAATTTTAAAATATTGAGAATATCACTAAGCTGACAATGATATTGGGAGATGCATTTGCAACAATATAAAAAGCTATGCAATTTTCTTTTTATTAAGGATGAATCTAAATGAATTCAATTGGTAACTATTCCTCTTCAAGTATTTGCAGATGGGGCAACATGATATTTGGGTAGCTGATGTCATAATTTGGGGACAGTTATCTCAACCATCAAGAAAAAATTTCAGCACTTGTTTTGTATTATTCAGAAATTAACTGTACAGGTTTGTTATCACAATGTATAATTGTGTTTTTCCACCCCACATTTTTAAGGCAATTAAACATAGATATTTCCACTCGTAAAGGACATCTATTAGCTGTGATATTTTTGCATGCTATTTATTATTTCCTGGTACACAGCTGCTTTCTGTCTCCAATACTCCCCACTCCTCATTTCAGAAATATTTCTGGATTACAAAACCGTAGGAGCTAAAACAAATTTCTTAAACAAAATGGCCAAAGCGCTTACAAGAATTGTTTTTTTCAAGTGTCTTAAATGAAAGAAGAGGAGCCCATGAGGGTTAAACATCCTGGGGAAACAATGATAAATCCTGGTAACCTTCAGCTCGAGCCTAAAATCGGTGGCAAATTTCCAGCAAACACCAGAGTGGATGTTAAAAATGGAAGGTTTTACTCTGCGCCGTTTAAATGTCTGGCCGATCAGAGGCTAAATTCTGTGTGATTAAAAGTTTCCTTATAGAAGGCCACCAAAAACTTACTTTTAATAGCGCCTGGGGAGCTAAACCTCTTAAACAGGATTGAGCCTCTTCTACAATCGTGGGCGGGGTGGCAATGACCTTGCCAAGATGCCCTCTGGTGCAGTTTTGCCTCAGGGGGAGGAGCGGGGACAGCTGCGCAGACCGATGAGGGCAGCAGAAAGTGGGTACAGTGGTGGCGGGACGGGGCAGGTCTTGGGTGGGCCTGGCCAACGCTGCCCCTCGGGGGCCGTGTCTGTACCGCCAGAGCCGGCGCAGGCCCGGCAGGGCCTGGCGGGCGGCGCGGGGAGAGGTTGCTGGAGGCGTCGCGTCCCTCGGTGGCCGCCCTGGCACAGGCTGCAAGCCCTTGTCCCGTCCACAGTGGGCGCCCTGGGGGCTGGGGGCCTGTGCCCTGCGAACCCGGGCCGCGGCGCCCACACTGACCTGGCCTGCCCAGGAAAGGGGCCGGGTGGCATGGAGAGCGGCGAGCGCACCGCAGCGCGCGGGCCTGGAGACTGCCCCGCACTCGCTCGGAGAGGGAGAAAGGGGGTCGCCCCTTCACCCGCCCCTTGTGCCACAAGGAGGAACGCGGCGCAGGCGGCGATAGCTCCAGCTCTCTCTTGCTCAAGTGCAGCCCAGAGCTGACCCTGCCCTGCCCCTCCTACGGTTGGCGGGACTTCCTGAGCCGAGGCTGCGAGGCCCGCGCCCCATTCTGCAGAGGACGGCGTCGCCCTCTCCCTCTACGCCTCCAGCTTTACGATCCTGGGCCTTTAGTGCGCCTGGCAGCCGCCACCGAGGGGCAAAGGTGCCGAGCAGCTGCTGGCGAGGGTGCTGAACGCGCCCTTCTAAGCTGGTGTGTTAGCACCTGTTCATTCAAACCCCAGAGGGCATAGGGAAAAGCCAGAGAGAGGGGAGGAACTGTGTCCCCCGCCCCAGGTAGACAGAAGTTTGCCCAAACTAGACAACCGTCTGTCCCCTCTGCCTGTCTCTCTGCACCGGAGTGACTCGCGCTTGCTTCCTCCCATATGCGCAGAAAACCTGCTTTCCCTGGCACTGTGTCCGGGACTCCCAGGCCTCTTTAAGGACCCTCAGACACTAAAAGCCCGACCATTGCTCACCCTGTCTGAGAAAGCAGCAAGAAAGTGAAGAAACATCTGGAAATGGAAGAATCTGGCCTTTTTGGTTTATTTTTTTAAGCAGTCCTGTTAAATCACTAGCAGAATAGGTGTGGCTTCCCCCACCCCCTGGGCCCCATTTTTCTCCCCTGATTCTTGCTCCAAGGTGACCGGCTGCCCAACTGAGAACAGCCTCGCGCCTGCTCAGAATCTTGGTTCAGACAGCTTTTGAAACCCGCACAGTCTTTCCGGGGTCACAGATTCACGTTGGAACGAGAGATTGCAACAGGAGATGTATCCTCCCGCCCCCCTCTGGCAATGTGGGAGAGCTAGGAAGAAAAGCAGCTGGCTGAGTGAGGAAGAAGCAAACCTCCAAGAGCTTCTGATCTCAGAGCTTTGTCCATAAGGAGCTCAAGCAAAAGAGCCGGGTTTTCGGGCACAGATCCCTGAGAATATGAAATTTCTTAAAAAACTTGGATGCAAAAATGCGATGGATGCTCCCTTCTTCGGTGACGCTTGCCGTGGGGGACAGTGTGTTGTGTGTGACGGGGTGTTGGGCAATCCTTGTGGCTTAGTCCTCCTTCAGATGCTCCTGATAACCCCTGGCATGGAACCCGCCCTTTACACACCACCCTGGCTGTCTGTCAGTTTTCTTCCCCAGCAGAGCTCTTCCTGTTCTCTCTTGATTGCAATCCTGAGAAATCATATGACTTGTTCATTCAAACACCAACATCACAGATGCCATGCATTGCAAAATCTTTTTAAGATAGCACTCCAGTAGAAGGGAAAATAGTATGGTATAAAGAGCATGCAAGGCTTGGGGTCGGATAGGTTTGGGTTGAAATCCTTGCTCTTTTTCTGACCTCATGATTCCCTCACCTCCCAGTGTGAAAAATCTTCCTCTCTTCTGAACGCTTTTAACCACTATTGTCTTCCATATTGATTAGACATCTCTTCTTTTGAGCTGAATTATGTCAGTCTTATATTTGCCTTCACACAATTTTGTTCTTTTTCCTTTATTAGGATTAGGTTTTACATATATATGTGTATGTGTGTACATATATGATCTATATTTTATATCTATCAGGATATATAGCTATATCAATCAGTGGTCTCAACAAAATAAAGATGTACCTCTTTCTCATATAGAGAAGTCATGGGAAGTAGTCCAGGACTGATACGGTTGTGCCAGGGGCACCAGGGGCCTAGGCTCCTTCTACCTTTCAACTCCACTATCTTTAGTGTGGGGCTTCCATTTTCATTCACCTCCTGGCCCAAGACTGCTGCTGGAGTTCTAGACATTGCTTCTTCATTCCAATTAAGAAGAGAAAAGGAGGCCTGGCACAGTGGCTCACTCCTGTATTCCCAGCACTTTGGGAGGCCAAGGCAGGTGGATCACGAGGTCAAGAGATTGAGATTATCCTGGCCAACATGGTGAGACCCCATCTCTATTAAAAATACTAAAATTAACTGGGCATGGTGGCCCATGCCTGTAGTCCCAGCTACTGGGGAGGCTGAGGCAGGAGAATTGCTTGAACCTGGGAGGCGGAGGTTGCAGCAAGCCGAGATCACGCCACTGCACTCCAGCCTGGCGACACAGCAAGACTCTGTCTCAAAAAAAAAAAAAAAAAGAAAAAAAAGAAAAAAGAAAAGAAAAGAAAAAAGGAGGATGGTAAAAGGATGTTCCATCCATCTGATCAGGCCCCTTTAGAGAATATTTATAGAAGCCCCACCAAATGACTTGTACTTACTAATTGTAGATTTAAGAGAAGCAGGGAAATATATATCCTTTTTAACAAAGTATATTGCCACCTGGAATAAAATCAGGTCCTATCAGTGAGAATGAAAGAGAAAATGGATGTTAGTTAGGCACGTAGCCATGCCTTGAACTCTACTGTCCACCCATTTCCTTCCTCGCCTGTCTGGTACCTTATATTTTTCCCAAGCATTCTCTTTTGGCTTCTATTATCTCTTCCTCTTTTGACCACATACATTTGTGTTACGAATGTCTCTTAGGTGTCCATTGCTTGTAGATGCTAGGTAAGATTTGTCCTTAAGTCCAGTCTCTCTCTCATCTGCAAAATGCATGACCTCAGGTTTCTTGCTGTCTGTGTTTTGAAGGCATGAAGGGACCTGCTTTCATCTCCCATCCCTGTTTCTACCTGCACCTTTTCTCAGTCATATTCCCCATGCCCAGATTGCCCCTGTTGATGCCACCTCCAATGAAACATTGTGTGGCTGGTGTTCTAGTTCATCAGCCCACCTTTAACCTCAGTCATCTTTTGGGCATTTGCACCCCCCTTCGAAACTGCTTTCTCTGTCTCTCATCACCTATCTCTGGTTCTCTGACCCATAAAGAAAAGCATGTTCTTATTTTAAAGAGCAGGCAGAGTGCCCAAACTCCTGCTGGTAAAGTTCTCTTGTTTTAACCAGCCAGCCCTCTTGGTTCTAGGGCACTCAGCCACTCCCGTGTGCTGAGTCAGGGTAGGTTCAAGTGTAGCCATTTGATACTCAGAGCAATTGTAACATGGCTTCCCTCAGGCCTGTTTCTGAATGTTCTCATGTATTCTGATACCTTCCCTATTTATGGTATATCCTCCCTCTTCCAAAGGGGTCCTATTTCTTCATCAGGTACTCAATGAAAATCCAAATCAGGAGAAAGTTCAAGTTCTTCTCTTGAGCAGCTCTATACCAGGGACATAGGAAGAGAGGGTCTACAATCTGTCCTCTCATGCTAGAGTATATCACATGATGCTCTAACCAAGGCAAAGATGGAACTAATTGTAGACCCAAATTGGAGAACCAAAATAAAACAACAACCAAACACCTTTATTCATCATCCTGAAGCCCCAACTAACCTCTCATTCTTTTTCTTTCCCAAAGTTCTCAATAAATACCTGACACAGAATACCTCAACTTCTTCAGTGCCTTCTCTTTGATCTCCTCTTTGATCTTCTCCTATGTTATCATCCAGTTGAGACTGAATGTTGTAATATTTGCCCTAACTTCTATGATATCATTTGGACAAAGAATACTGGTGAGTGCTCTTTTTTTTTTTTTTTTAAGGTGTTGAAAACCACTAATAAAAAGAACTAGGATATCAGATTGGAAAAGTGGGCTGGAAATATCATGACAGAAGGCCTTGAGTGCCAGCTAAGCAGCTATGGAAGATCACTGCAGGCCGTAAGCTCGAGGACCCAGCTTTGTCCACCGATGCACATTAGCCTGTGCCCTCAGACAAGTGATGCAACTGCCCATTCTCAATTTCCAGTCAAATAAAGATCATAAGAAGTAAAACAAGTTAGTTAAGTCCAGTGACTCTTCTTCAATTCTTACTCTTTGCTTTCTAGCTGTCCCAGCCTTCTCAAGCTATTGCGGCTCTCCTCATTTTTGTTTACTCTTCTTCAACTCTTCACCAGCACTTAGGCACCTCTCTCCACTGCATCAGTGATCCCACTTCCCATCTCCTGTCCCATCTACATGAGGACTTCCTGAAC